ACAAGTTGAAGTGGACTTTGTAATTTCCCCCAGAAACTTGGTGATGTGTCTTTACCAATTTACAATGATCTTAGTCCACACACTCGTATTATTGAGTTGCCAGATCGAATAATTGGAAGTAGGTCAGTAATTCAGGAAACATATGGTGACGTTAACGATATCTTGTTAACTTTTGTTTTCCTTCTTTATACAAGTTGCAATTTTGCTCTATTTAGAGCAACATGTTATCTAGTGTTAATTAAATAGGAAATAAATCTGAACATTTTTAGGGAATATTTTTGTAGAAATCCAGCCAGGTAAATGCAAATTCCCTTAGTCTGCAGGTTTAGTGCAGCGAGGGTATTTAAAATGTTTTTGTTTTATTTCAACTCTGTAAAAATGTAACTATCAAAACAAAACTAGTTTGGCGAAAACCCCAACTAATTAAAACTACCTTTTAAACTGCTTTTATGTCAGTACAAAAATATCCAAAAAGAAAGGGAGAGCTTTTGTTTGTATTTATGTTCTAAATAAAAGCAGTAAAAACAAGGTATATTGCAGCTGATTCAATTTACCAAGAAAATATTGTCATTAAACTTCTAAGATGAAAACTGAAGACATTGTGCTTTTATCCTCTTCAACAAAGGGTATAAAAGTCACCAACCCAGAGCTTATTGTTTGTTGAGAAAATAATGTGCCTTTGCTAAGTTGTCTCATTCCTCTGAAATTTGTAAACGAACAAAGAAAATATCTTAGTACTGGGTATATTTTTAAAATTTATAAAAAAGTTAAGTTTATATAATAATATATTCAGCACAGACACTCGCAGCACAAACATTTTATCTTTTAGTTAAATAAACGGGATATTAAATCATTTCTTTTGTTGTGAAAATAGGTATCATGCTGATTTTAATAACTTTGAATTTACAACTAATAAAATACGAGTATTATGGGTATTATGAGTATTATAATAACTAAACTCTTATTATATTAGTGAAATTAAATACATATTAATTCTATTAGGGAAAAATTATATTGAACATTATATTAATTTTGATGAGTAGGAGGTGTTTCAAGTCTACTACAAATTTGGTTAAACTTTGAATTCTTTCAAATTTCTTAGTCTACCTTGAAAGATTAAATATAATCTTTGTGAAAGTAAATCCAAAATGCTCACACATTTATTATTGGTTTGAATATCTGGTACGTAACTGTCCACTTTATTATAGACAAAGTTACCAACTTTCAATATCAAAGTAATATATTGTGTCTTTAATTCCTCGATGCTATGGGCAAAATTATCATCCTGGGATGAAATCAAAAGCAGCAAAACTGTTGATGAAACTCCACTTTTGATATGGCTGGATGTAAGAAAGTGAAGACTTATCTAGCATGAAAAGTGAAAGCTTCCTAGCCAGATGATGAGAACAGGCTTTCTTAGAGGGTTATGGGGCAAATATATTTTATTGTTGTATTTTTTACTTTGAAAACTTTCAAATTCCACATTCTAGCAGAAGTTTCTTTTTTAAAAGCTAAAAAAACAATTACAATTGTCAGATCTATTATTGTTGTTTTTTTTTTTTCGATTGATCATACTCACTCTATCATAATATAATTGTTTGATAAAGGGTAACCATACAGAGAAAATTTGCTATACAGAGATTCCGATGTAGTTCTAATGCGACCAAGGTAAAGCTCCGCTATTAATGTAATTTGGTTGAATACAATAAACACTCATCAGGTTGAGTTTTACTAACTGTCTTGATTAAATCATGTGAACTGGCTTTTATGGGTTGAATATGGATTTGTAGATATATTCTTTTTCAAATTTAAGCCTAGTCGGTTACGTAGTTTTTGCATGATTGAATAGCACACACACAAACAGACAGACACCATACGATTTTTATTTAATAGTAATAATATTGATTTATTAATCAATAATAATGTTCTGTTGAATCCTGTTTTCTTTAAGCCAAATTGTCACAGCACAAAATCACAAAAATATTTGTCTTGGCCTACTTAAAAATGTATTGTTGAAAAAGGGTAATAACTTAAAAACTAATTTGTCTGATAAGAGATCAAAAACCACATTTAGACTATTTAGAGAGAACTCGTTGGAATGGCTTATGTTCATTAAGTAAGGTTTAAGTTTGTACATTGTGCCACTTTGTCGGTGATGGGGTCTTGAGAGTTGTCCACTAATAGTGAAAGAGGAGTTGAGAAGTTTGGTTTCCACAAGTTATAACAAGGGTCCGCCCTTATGTCACTGTCAAGGATGGGAGATTAGACCACAACTTCCTCCTTGCTCTAATTACGTTCAACTTTAGTTGTTCATAATTGGGCAAGGAAAATCCATGTTTTATAGCAAAAAGTATGGTCAGGTAAGCAAAGAAAAATTACAATAATTTAAAACTCCAACGGATTCTCAAAACCAAGAATCAACATTCTGTCTACCAGGAAAGTTTGAACAAAATTTGAATTCCTAAAACTACTAATACCGGTACTGACTAGGTGTTGTTCATTATGTCATGAACCAAGGCCACACTAAATAAACAGGCCGTAATGCTCCTCTGGCATGACGTTATCGTAGGCAATGGCAGTGACGTAATTTTTGCCGTTTGTGATCAGCTGCTTGTTTAATCTTTTATCTTTTCAAATAACATTACCTCATTGCCGTCGCCTATGATGACGTCATGCCTGAGGAGCATTACAGCCTGTTTATTTAGTGTTGCCTTGCATGAACAGTCAAGTTTAATTGGTTGGGTAGCCAAAATAGTATTAGCTAATTTAAAACTGGGATGGATTGATTCTATACCCAATTGCTACCTTGACAGTGGTATAAATAAATGAATACTGCTTTTTGTAAAGTTGATGCTACCCTAATATGGAAATTTCATGAATCCCAAATTAAATTATGAAATTCAACGGGCGCTATACTAGGTGTCTAAGCTTTGCGCAGTAAGTAATCTTACTAAGGTTTTTCTCAAAAATCTATATTATATTTTAGAATGCTAACTCCAGCTAAAAAATACACATGTATATTGCAACAATTTTTTTGGCAATTCAATTAAAAAATGATAAAATACTCTTTTAAACCAAAGGGAAGGAATTGATGCACTACCTGCAGCACCCTCTGTTAGCAATTAATTTACCAAATTTGTAGCCTTTTACAAGTAACGCTCGTGAATAGGCGCCAATCGGGGCTATAGAATACAGGGGCTAGCTCACGTCTTTGATGTAGCACTTGCCGACACGGCCCCGCTCCCCCACCTCCTGTGACGTCACTGGGCTGACAGTCGGGCCTGTTTCCATTACGCGGCCAGCGAAAATCTCACTCTTTTACACGCTCCCCTACCGTTGTACGAACATATTTCTCACATGAAACTTATATCGTTTTATTCTGCATTAACTGTAGAATCCAAATATCCAAATAGTTTTTAGTTTACCACAAGTAAATTAGTTTTATACCAACAAACGTAGAGAAACTACAATAATGAAACATGAAAAAGTCACTAAGCGAGGAACATTTTAATTTTCGGGTTAGGCACAAAACTTTCAGCGAGAAAACTGTAGTCAATCAGTTCTTCCTTAGTAATTAATTAACAATTCTTAAATACCCCTAACGGTTCATTAATAAATCGTCTCAAAAGACAATTGTTACAACTGAGCGCTGGCGGGTAATTTTGCCGTTCGCCTCGCAAATTTTCGGTTGTTGTTATGGCAACACTGCATTAAATACGCGTAAAAACAACTTCGCTCTTTCATTGTTATTCGGGTCTTCCGTTTGTTTCTGAAGAAGATAGAAGAAAAATGATCAGAAGATGAGTAAGTGGCTAAAATCAGCGAAATAGGATACAACTATTATAATAAAAATACTATCGCATTAAAACGCTCTTTTACTTAATTTCTACGAACACTTTGTTCAACAGACAATATAAAATTACCTAAACCATTACACATCCCTAAAAGATACCCAACCAAGTGTATTAGAATTATATGACAAGGAGTACCGGAATATCAAACAAGATAAAATAACATTCTAAGCCTTAAGTCTACACAATTCTTAAAATTCAGTTTTAGCACTAATTACTTGTTTCACTAATAGAAACAGTGCAATTGTTTTAGGATCATAACATTTTTTAACTATCATGTTATAAACAGCACGATGCGGACATGTGCGGAACGATGTAATGTGATCGCCAAGTTTATAAAGCCTAACTTCCTGGTAAGCAATAAACGACCCGTTGGTTTTATCGAAAATTTTCAGGCTAATTATTGAAATAGAACTATTAATGAATATTTTTCTCGCTCAAAGTTTGTTCCTATCCCAAAAATAAAAAAAATCCCCGCTTAGTGACTTTTTGTAGTTCACAAGTTTGTAATCGTTATAATTTTCCCCTTTTAAAATACATATTATTGATCATAACTAAAATATTTTTGGACCATCATATTCTGTAGTTAATGCAGATTACAACGATATAAGTTTTATATGGACAATTTAATTGTGTACATTTAGGGAAGCATTTAAACGAGCGATTTGTATATGTGCCGCGCGCTAGCTACGCCCGTGGAGTCAGCGCGGTGACGTCACAGCCACACGGCAGTGGGACCACTTTGCTAGTCCACGTGAGCCAGCCCCTGTATTCTATAGCCCCGGGCGCCAATGGGTTAAAATGGGTTGAACTCCCAAACTAAGTATGTAGTTGCAAGTAATACCAATAATCGATAAAGCAACTCGTTGACGCTGAGCATGTTTGTTCGGCTTAATATGATTATGAAGAGGTTGAGGTTATGAATTTTCATACATAAAGTACATTTTAAATAGTTAAAATTATTTTGGCTGTCTGAGGTGTTGATTTTGTTGTATACTAGAGTAGGTTTAGTTCCGTTGGACTATATTGTTATAAGAATGAAGTGATTGCTGCTGAAACACCGTGATATTGCTATGAATAGACTGCAGTTCACTTGTTAAAATAGGTATAAATGAATGACTGTGGAGCAAATAAAATTGAGGCAGCAGATACCACGAACAAAACGTTTAATTACATTTACAAACAAAATAACAAATTTACAGCAGTTTCTATTAAGTATCAGAGAATACAAATGTTGAGAATATAAAAAAGTATTTACTGCTAAAGTGACCTTCTGTGCTCTGTGGGCAATACTGGGAATACAGCTTAAATTTATCAGCCTCACAAGAAAGAAAAACCAATTGTGTGATCATTTGAACACAGTTGTATAAGATATCAGTTCAACTATGTAAATCAAATGTACTAAACCTCACAATATGTATTTCAAAACAAATTATCCTCCTTTAACATCTTACAAATAGTAACACTAAGGAGTAAAGTACAAATTTAAAAGTTAATAATAAAGGAACATAGATTGCTTTGCAAATCTTACGAATACACTGTCAAAGATCAGTAAAGCTTCTGTCTTTAACATATCAAGAGGATAAACTGCAACTTTAAAATTCAAAATATAATGTGCGTTAGGTAGCACGCTCAGTCTTACAAATCAACCAATACAACAAACATCAACTTATCCTATTTTTGAGTGTAAAATATTCATTTATGAAAACCATATTACTAATGCGTTACAAAAAGTATTTACTACATCATTGAAAATCATTACAAAATCAAAATATAGCAAGTTAAATATGAAATGTTTATCTTTACACCCACTACAATCTAATTTCATCAATCTCTTTATGAACAAAATAAACCTAGCAAGATTGGAATAAATCGAATCACTTAAAAGTGAAAAGGGGGGGTTCCTTCCTTACCACATGGAACACTTATCACTGAACAAATCATTACTGTAGGGTTTAATGTATGTATAATAATGCCGTGGCTTAGTAACTAAATTGTAACCTCTTGCCAGCTGCACCAGTCTCACTCGGTGTTCTTCTTTCTTGACATTCGCTTCTTGGTAAAGGTCACATTTACCTCTTGCTTTTTCTTGACGTTCATCAACTCTTTACCTATAACAAAAAATGTTATAATTAAATCATGTTTTAAGAAAGAATAATGTTAAATCTTAACACTAAAATTCCCCAAATTGGGTATAAAAAACTAGCCAAATTTCTGTTATTGACACAAACTGGAACAATTTAAAACTAAAAGTAACAGCAATAACATTGGAAACATACGGACATCAAGTATAGTAAAATTTGCATTTGTTAAGATTTCAAACAGAAATAAATATTTTGCATCAAAGCATGGAAGATATGGGGAGTTAAAACTGATTACTACTTGAAATGATTGGGGCATTCCAGATCACAATATAAAAGTAAACAAAATGCATAGTTTTTGGATCACGATCATCTAAACAATTAGCTGAACAGAAAACTTATCAGCACTCAATAAAATTTAGAATATTCAGGTGTTTAAAAAAAAGGTTTAAATTAATAGGAAGGAAGTGCCGGATTTAGGGTACTTGTTGCCCAAGTCCAATTTAACTTGAGCGCCCCTGCCCCATAGGTGGAATCGTGAACTTTGCTTACGATCAAAGGGACATCGTCATCATCACCCGCGACCTAGAGGTAAATCCAGCACTGGATGTATGCAACTCTGGCTCCTCGACAATGATGAGTGAAGGATGAGAGTTGAACGGCAAAAATTAGAGCCTTACTACTACTTACTAAGATCACCTGTAGCTGTGTATTTAACAGTCCCACTTTTTATTATATCCCTATTCAATTGGGTCTAATTTTTAACTGTCAAAACACTACTGAGGAAAATCAATAATCCAAAAACACAACTATAACTTATTGAAAGGATTTGGAAACATGTTAACTGAGGTCCTTTATACACATCCACGCACAGTACAGTGACATTACTCATATTAATTGCGCAAAAATAGTTCTGATATTCAGTTTCTTCTTTTTTGAAAGGTAAATGACTCACAAAGGGAGATAAACTCATTTCAAGTGAAAGCACAATTGAAGGAAAAATTCAATGTATAAATTGAGACTTGTGTGGTTGAAAGGTCATCATCAATAGAGGGGTAAAGGCAGTCACATACAGTGTTGAGTAGGTTATCCTTAAATGGGGTTATAATGTAACCACCAAAACCAAAGGTTGAGATGGACAGTCAATTGTTGCCTTTGGACTTATTTATGATGGTTAAAATATATATGTAAATATTTAATTAGACATAAGTTATTTTAAGATATATTATTCAACACCATTTAGTGTGCAAAACTGTACTTTATGAATAAAGGATACGAGGGAACCCGTGCTCTAATTGCGCATTTTAATGGGGTTCAAATTCAAATTATCTTTTATAGCATGTAAAAAACGTACAATAAATAGTGTCAAGCTTATGGTTACTATGAACAAATACTTAACCTAAACAAAAAATACAGAAAATAAAACTATCTATAGCTGTACACATTCATATACAGTTCATCTATAGAGTAGATGGGTCTTTCTATCAAAATTACTTTGAATTAATGTTTAAACTTTTTATTGTCATTCATATATTTTAATTCTTTTGATATAATCTTTATCTTTATTATCTTTATCTTTGATTAAAACTTTATCAGCATATGAGGGCTTAATTTTATACATTTCTAGGTTGTGTTTCGGTAGAACTATATTATTTTTTGTTTCTGATGTTGTATTTATGGGTTTCACGATGTAATTTAAAATTATCCTGGTAATTTTTTACATGTACGATACATTCTAGAACATACAAACTAAACACAGTTTCAAATTGGTACAAAATGTTGCTTTACAGACTCATTATGATCTAGATTTAACTTTATTCATATTCATATTCTTGTTACTATTTTCTGTAAAACAAGAATCTTTTCTAAATTTTTTAGGGTTTATAACTTGTTTCAGAGACAATACAAATAATACAAAAAAATTTAACTTTTCAAAGATGGTGTTTGCTTAAGTCAGTTAATTGGAAATCTACTAATTAAAAATATTATACCTACACCTAAAAAAATTAGATATGATTCTATGCTGTGTCTATATTTCTTTTACATTACACATTCGATTTCTGGTTGTATGACGAGATTAATGTGTTAACAATAGAGCTGTGCAAGCAGCTCAATTTTGAGCCGAGCCGAGCCTACAAGCTCAAGAGATCATGCATCAAGATTGAAAATTGAGCTCAAGCCTAGTTTTAACAATCCCAATTGCAGCCTGCATCTGCAAAGATCGTGCATTAAAAAATTCTTGGTTTTGCCATGATTGTGGATGACGCCGCTGATGATGTTTACAAGACAGCGAGAAATGTCCACGATTCTGCTGCAATTGCAGGAGACGATGATAAATACATGACTGAAGGAGGTATTAAGGATTTTTCCATGATCGTGGTAGACAATGATGTTTCTAATTATATAGTGATTTAAACACCTTATTCTGGCAATTCAATTGTTGTATTCCACAACTAGTGTCAATCTGCTAAGAGGTCATCATCATGTGCGTACAAGAATGATTTTTTCAAATTAAGGTAGTCAGGATTAACATGATGTTTCTATAACTGTCGGAGATGTTCAATATTCAGCCGCGATCAAGGAGGACAATGATGATGTTTACCCGAACAATGATTTTGTTATAAACGACAATGATGATTATTGATTTTTCATCACTTTGGTTTTCTAAAATGTGATATTACTAAAATGTTTCAATTGTCATCTAACTACATTAAGAATAACCTTGTTTCTAAAAATGAACTACTTTAGATTAACCCTTTGAGTGCCAACGTCCGAGGAACCGGACGTTTTTAAAACGAGCCAAAAGTGCCGACGTCCGGCCGACCGGACGTTTTTAGAACGAGCCAAAAGTGCCAACGTCCGGCTGACCGGACGTTTCGTAATGATCGAACAGTTGTCATAACAACCGAATGGATACTCAGATTCTTTTAACCCATATATTAACATTGAGTCGAAAGTTACTAGATGCGATACATCGATTTTCGTTAGTCGAAATATCGAAAATTCGATTTTTACGAAATTTTAACCTAAAAATCGCCAGATCGCGCTCGGCATTTTTAGCGCGACCTTCGGGAAAAATCATCGGCATTTTTTTAGCGTTACTTTTATTTCTCGCCTGGCACTCTAAGGGTTAAGCAATAGGGAAAACGTTAGTGCTGCTCACCTACTACAGTGGAACTTGGCTAATTAGAATTTCTAAAGTTCAAAATCTACTCCCTGAAAAACCACTTTGCATCATTGGCCTGCGGTTGAAATCCCTCACCAGCCCTTTAGTGCAGGCTGTAGGCTTGTAGCTTCAATGGTGTCGCATCCACACCCCTTCCCCCCCCCCCCTTAACCACTGTTAGACCTACGAGACTCACGTCTGTGGCCTGCGCTCCTTTTGAGGTAATTAAATTGCCAAACCCCTTCTACCTTTCTATTGTTTTGCAAAGCTCCACTTCTCATATCTCATATCAGTGTCATTGATTACACTTTTATGGTAGTGCGTGCTATCGTTAAGTGCTACAGTATTGTTTCCAAGTTTTTTGTTTGCACTTGTGGTCTAAGTTAAATTTTGCCATGCGTTTTAAGGTGTATGCACAGGGAAAAAATGTTGTTATCAGATTCCCTACAAAACTTTGACTTAAGCGGAGAAAATAGTAGCGATTTAAGAAGTATAGAAGGGGATGAAGAAATAATCAGAGATTGCCAAGGAATTTGGAATCTCTCATAACTTGTTGTCCACCTACTTAAAAAATAAAGAGAAAATTGTCAAAAGTGAAAGTGAGTGCTCTTAGGCCAAAAAAGGATAAGGGAACCAGAAAACCCTCAATTTGGACAGGCGTTTTCAAAAGGTTCAAACAAGCAAGAGATAAGAAGATTCCTGCAAGCCCTTGTAAGGAGCAAAGCAAAACAATTTTCTACTGAACTAGGAAAAAAACTATTTTTTAATGTAAGTACAGGGTGGCTAGATGGCTTCAAGGAACACAACAAAATTCCGTTCAAATCGATTTGCAGTGGGAGTGAGGCCAGGACAGCAAGAAGCCAGACAATTGAAAAAAATATCAGGAGATGATCCAGGACAAAGACGAAAAAAAACATATTTAATGTTGATGAAACGGGTCTTTTCTTTAAATGCACCCCTGACAAAACACTTGCTTTTAAAGATTAAAAATGTCACAGAGGAAAACTGAGCAAAGAGAGTGTTATCCTCCTGGTGGACAAATAAGTTCAAATAAGAGGCACTGGGCAAAGATCAGCTATTGTAGGATGGGAGGAGTTATTGATGAGAAAATTAAAAATGGAGTGGGAACTGAACTGTTGTTTTCCGTTTAATAAGGTTTCACAGGTATTTCCTATTCTCCTAGAGTGTCCAATGTTTTCCCTTTTCTGCAAGTGTAAAATTTTCAAACTGTCATCAATACCATAAAATGATTGCGGTCTGATAAATGCTGAGAAAGGTCAAGCCTGTTGGGATACAGCATAGGATATCAATGGCTGATCAGTCCGAGGTTGTGGTGGACACGAGCTAAGAATTTGATATTGAGATAGGTGACAAAAGGTATCAAGTGTCAATGCCTCACCTCAACCGCCTTCCAGCTCAAGTGATTATCAGGGTTGATTTGATAACACCTCTTGAATTGATATCTTTGAACTAACCAACGGTATCAAACCAGATTAGTCGTACAGAGCCAGCTGAGCATAAAGTGGATATTCGATACAGGAAGGGCCTTACTTCGGAATCCTGTAAATATTGCTGATACTTGTGCTGGTGGGGGAATACTGAGGGGAATGTTGTAACCAAATTGAATTGCTACTCGAGGATGTTGGCGTCTGTCAGGGACAGGCCGAGTCAGTTCGAGAACTTTGCTATTAAGAATGGTGAGTTATATAGATGTCGGCCTGGAAAATTCCAAGTTGGCAAGACCTTGGATTGGGAAAATACATTGCTTGGAGAACACGCTTTAAACCTGTAGAATATATGGGTGGGTCGAAGTGTCTCCTGAGTAGGCAGTAGCCTAACAGAAAATACTAAGATTTTTCTTTTC